TGCACCCGAATATGAACGTACGATATATTTTGTCAGTTGTTTTATGAGACGTAATCTCTCTGGGGAACCTGCATGAAAGGGGCACCTATGAGTGAGACAAGCTCCAAAAGCTCATGCAAAACATATGTTTACTGTCTTTTGCTTCTCAAAAATATTCAAGAATGAATTCATTTTAAAGGTATGTTGATATCTTTAGTATAGATTAAAAATGTATTTTATTCATCATTGTTTGCCCTTCTAATACTGTATTTGCATAGTGAATTCTGATTGACCTACTTTTTAAAATGTATTTGCATACTCAATTATAATTAGTCTTTTTTGCTTCCATTTATTTAACCATGTAGAACAGCATTTATACTGCATAGAATGTGTCGTATTATGTGTTTAATCTCACGTGCAGATAACTTTATGCCATTTCTTTTACACATTTTTCTTTTACACTTTTACCGAATCTTCCCTAAAATCACAAAACCTTAAACTTCCCTAAAACACTTCAGTTTTGTGGCCTTCCTTTACAAAATGTCAATCTAGTAATGCTGCTCAGTCTCATTGTTCTGTTATTTTTTTTCACAGCTTTGTGATTTCTCTCCCTCAGCATCGGTACAAGACAGTGAACATATGAATGGCTCCAACGTGTTTAGAAAAACACCACACTTGGGATGAGCGAGCTGTCAGAAATGTCATAGCTGTCAATCATTTTGTCTCCCTGAATACCATCGAGACGGAAGCGTTACTGGTGCTTCATCTGGTTAATTACGATCGGAGCGCTTGGGATTTAACGGCATATGAACACACACATGGTATCTGATACAGAATCGTACGACTTTTATTATTATAAATGTAAATGCTTGTGTCTTAAAAATAACATACTCTGCATGATCATTTTTCACCATGTCTTTGAACCTTTAGAAGTAAACAGGCTATTTTTACGTTGCTGTGCCTTTAAGACCTGTGCCTTCTGTGCTTTGGTCTGCTTTCAAAGGGGCTGCAGGTTTGCTGTTTGGATCCAATAAAGTTCGCACCATCTCTTCATTTCTTACATGGCGAATATACAAGGATCTGCAGAGATGTAGGTGCCACGCCATCGAAAGCAGCATAAGGTTTGGCAAACATCTTTACTCTTATGGTTAGTTCTTCACAGTATCTATCCTTTTTCCTTACCTCATGTGACTAAAAAAAACAAGCTGAACACCAAGAGTTGATGTGTAAATATGGGTGATTTTCATAGTACATTTCACCATTTTATCTCAAAACATAAAGATGAGTTTGATTCTAATTTCTCTACTGAAGAAATGTAGCATTGCATCACTTGTTCACCAATGGATCCTCTGCAGTGAATGGGTGCCGTCAGAATGAGAGACCAAACAGCTGATAAAAACATCACAATAATCCACAAGTAATCCACACCACTCCAGTCCATCAATTAATGTCTTGTGAAGTGAAAAGTTAGATGTTAGTAAGAAACAAATCCATCATTAAAGTGGTTTTAATTTCAAACCGTTGCTTCCAGCTAAAATATGAGTTCAAAATCCATAATATTGCTTTCTCCAGTGAAACAGTTGTCTGGTCTGAATCAGGAGAGAAATATGTACAGATCAAGCACCGTTTACAAGCAAAAAAAAAAAACAAACGGTCCAAAAGCATTCTAAACAAATTTCTTAGTTGTGAAATGATAAATCCTGTCAGTTTCGTTTCCTGTTGCTTGATTAATTCTGCCTCCCCGTGGATTTTCTGTCCTTCAGACTGTCCTTGATATTCAGTAAACATGGGTGGTCATGTGTTTATGTTTTGAGAATAAGTCTTTTTTTTTTTTCAGTAGATGGTCTTTCTGTGCTGTGGACAATCCAGTTGCATAGTGCATTTAGCTCCTTGATCCCAAAATATCAAGGTAAATTTGATTATAAGTTGCATAGTCTTTTATATGAAATTTTACACATGTATCTCATCAAACTTGTCAATCATGCTCTTCACACATCAGCATAAAACCCTCTCGTCATGTCTTCTCAATCTGTTCTTGTAGCAGTATAACACGGCAGCCACAGGCACGCTGTATGTGGGCTTGCAGGCACAGGAGCAGCTCACAGGCAGAATCTCACATCTTGACAGCATCAGTGAGAAATGGCCGCACTCTACAAAAATCCCAAAGCTGGCAGTGAGCTGCGCTTGTGAAGCTCTTGTTTGTCATGCTCGGCTGCGGTCGTGTTCCCTCCATGCAAGCGAAACTGTGAAGAATGTGCAGGGTTATGGTTGAGTTTTTTTTTTTTTTCTGCAAATGTGGGAACATTTTTATAGAGAGCCTCTGATTTATGAGCTTAGAAATATCAAGGAGATATCGAAACGTTTCTTATGAGGTCACCGTCTGAGCCTATGCAGAAATTCTGACGAATTTATTTTTTTATCAAATTTATTATACTTTTTTTTTGCTATTTTTGTTAAACCACTTACATTAATTCTTTATACAAAAGTGTGCATTAACTCTGTAAATCAACGTTTTAAGTGAGGTGGAAGACAGTAAAGAATAAAAAGTTACATGCAAAGACTGTACAACAAATACCTTTTAAATCATTTATAAATACTTTACATTTTAATACTTTTTTAACATACATTTGAATTACAGTTATGAGAACTGAGAGTAATGTCTAAAAGGAATAGTTCACCCTCAGGCCATCCAAGATGTAGATGAGTTTGTTTCTTCATCAGATTTGGAGAAATGTAGCATTCCATCACTGTCTCACCAATGGATCCTCTGCAGTGAATGGGTGCCGTCAGAATGAGAGTCCAAACAGCTGATAAAAACATCACAATAATCCACAAGTAATCCACACCACTCCAGTCCATCAGTTAATGTCTTGTTAGGCGAAAAGATCCGTGTTTGTAAGAAACAAATCCATCTTTAAGATGTTTCAAACCATAGCTACCAGCAAAAATATGAGTCGTCTATCCATAGTATTGCTTTCTTCAGTGAAACTTCTAAATCAGGAGAGAAATATGCACAAAGCACTGTTTACCAGTGAAAACAGTCCAAAAGAGTTCTAAAGAAATATGTTGGGTTTTGATGAGAGGACAACAGGAGATTTCTCACTTATTTTCACTTATTATGGATTATGAACTCATATTTTGGCAATGGTTTAAAGTTAAAACACCTTAAAGATGGATTTGTTTCTTACAAACACGCAGCTTTTTGCTTCACAAGACGTTAACTGATGGACTGGAGTGGTGAGGATTACTTGTGGATTATTGTGATGTTTTTATCAGCTGTTTGGACTCTCATTCTGACGGCACCCATTCACTGCAGAGGATACATTGGTGAACAAGTGATAGAATGCTACATTTCTCCAAATCTGTTCCCATGAAGAAACAAACTCATCTACATCTTGGATGGCCTGAGGGTAAGTAAATGTTCAGCAAATTTTAATATTTTGGGTGAACTATTCGTTTAATGGTCTGAAAATAGTTTATTGCATTTGTTTGTATGGATTCAGTGTGGGTGTTCAAGAACTAAGACTCTGACTTAAGGCCCTTGAGGAGGAAGTAAATTATAAAGACAAACCACCTTTTGTTCTTGAGGAGTCATTGACCTTTTACCATAAAATGTGCGGAATTTGTGAAAATCCCTTCGGTTTTATCTTCGGTTGCTTGATGAATTCTGCTTCCCTCCGTATTTTCTGACCTTCAGGCGATATTCAGGGTTATTGATTTAAGTCCAGTGCTTTGGACTCTGACACTTTCAAGCTGCACACCAAAGTATGCAGAAGCATCCCCAGAAAATGCACAAAAATCCTTGCTTTGCAACACAAGCCTGTTTGTTAGAAGGCTCTGCAGTTCTTTACTAAGCAATTTGCTTTATTAGTGTCAATTATGATTGGAGATCATTCATTTTGGCATGTAAAATATAAGCATCTGTGCACCAGGATTGTCCTGTGTATTTGCATCTGTGCACCAGGGTTATTATAGTAAAGTAAATCCCTAAAAAATACTTGAAATAAAAGAAAAGTTTATCTGAAATGAAATGTAAAAACTTAAATGTATGTTATTTCAGCTACTTGCCAAGGCAACATTTCTCATTTTCATTTAGTTAAACGTTCCTAAAATAACTCAAACGAAAACAAAATGAATAAAAACTAAAATAATAATAATAATAATAATAAAAACTATTTTAAATTACACAAACACACAACAAAATTAGTTTAACTTGATGTACTAAAATAAGCGAAAATAAAATCAATAAACAACCAACAACAAAAAAAAAAAAACGAAATATAAAAAACACAGTAAAAGGGCCAAAACACACAACAAAATCACTCAAATAAATAAAAATATGTATTAATACACAAAAATAACTAAAACTGTAATAGAAATGGATTAAAAAAAAACTAATTAAAAAACTAATACAAATGAGGAAAAAAAAACACACAACAAAATTACTAAAATAACTAAAACTGTACTAAAGTAACTAAACCTTAAAACTGAAATAAAATTAATCATTAAAAAACTAATAAACTATGTATACTAATGTATTAAATAAGTAATTAATAACATTTTTTTAAAAATGACAAAACACAACAAATTTATTACAATTGAAATATAAAGTAATAAAAAGAAAATAATAAAAAAATAAGACAAAATTACTAAAGGTTTAACTAAAATTTAAATGGAAATGGAAAATATAAAAATGAAAAGAATCCATAATAATAATAATAAAAACTATCATGATATTTCAATTATATTTAATTGAATGATATTGCTGTGAACGTTTGAGTGCATGTCTGCAGGCATGTTCAAACCTCCAGTCTTTTTCAAGATTATCAGCTATACTTTCATCTTTTTAAAAGCTAGTTTTTCTTTAAAAGCAGTGGCCCATTATCGTAATGACTCCAGACCTGGTCAAATGTGATCCTCGAAGTACCCACGGCAATTTTCCACACATAAAACTTTTAAGACCTAACGGGATTTTTCCTCTAATGGCAGACGCAAGGGACAGCAATGCGGTTCGGCTCCATTTACAAAGCGCCCAGAGCCTTTTCACTGCGAGTCCTGACACATGGGCTGAGTGTTTTGAACACGGAGGGCATGTCGTCAGTCACGCACTTTGGTGAAGTTTTAATGAAGGTGCCACTTTTGGTCTCCGAGTCCACGGGGCTGTTAGAGACCGTGTTCCTGGACTGTGTATTGATGATCCTGCCAAATGGGTATCTTTGAGCCGAATGGTTCGACGCGTTTCGCCGTGTTGCATTGTGTGATATTTCATTCATCTCGGTGTTGAGAGATAGAGAAAGGTGAGGATGATTGAAAAACGAGATGTGGATGACATTGCTCGGTAACAAGGGCAGATCTGGTCGGAGCCGTCAGGGTCGAGTGGGTAGATGTTCACAGCACATTCATAAAGCATAAGGCTGGGAGAGGAACTAAATGTACGCTACTATAACCAGCCGTGAAGGGGGAAACATGTCGCTGATGTATGACCCATTTTAAAGTTTTTGTCATTTTTACATCCGGTTAACTAAATTTGAAATGTTGCCTTGGCAGTTAGCTAAAATAATAAATGAACAATGCACAAGCAATGTCTTTGAAGAAGTAACATCTAAAAATAATGTAATCGTTATATTGAATATTTGCTTTAATTTAGCATTTTCTCATCAACCAAACAGGTATTTCTGTCTACTAAAATTAGATGCTTGTAGATGTGTATCCCATAAGCGACCACTTTAATAGTACTTTTTTATAGTATTTTTTGTCTGTGTGTGTGTAACTATGCTGTTTTATGCTCTATATTTTGTATGGAAAAGAGCAGCATAAACATTCTTCTTTTTTTTTTTTACCTTTGTTTTTCCACAGAAGTAAGAAATTCATGTCGACATAATTGTGACATAATTGTGGATTAATGTCAGAATTCAAATGTTTGTGGAACAAGAGATTAAAGAAAACAAACAAACAAAAATGCTGTTCTTTTCTGTGCGTGCGTGTGTGTGTGTGTGTGTGTGTGTGTGTCTGTGTGTCAGGGTTTCCACAAAAAATATTAACAGTGCTATAAAAATAAGAAATGTTTCTTGAGCAGCAAATCAGCATATTAGCATGATCATGTGACACTGAAGACTGGAGTAATGATGCTGAAAATTCAGCTTTGATCACAGGAATAAACTAAATTTTACAATATATTCACACAGAAAACACTTATTTTAAACTGTAATGATATTTCACAATATTACTGATTTTACCATATGTTTTTATCTAATAAATGCATCCTTGGTGAGCAGAAGAGACTTCTTTAAAAACCATTAAAAATCTTACCAACCCCAAAGTTTTGAATGGCATTGTAAATAATATTATTTATAATATATTTGTGAATTGTCTAATGGAATTACATTTTTAAATATATTCAAATAGAAAAGTTATTTTAAATAGATATAATATTGAACAATTTTACAGTGTTTCACAATATTACTGCATTTATTTCATATTTTTGATTAAATAAATGCAGCCTAGGTGAGCAAAAGAGATTTTTTTAGTTTCCATAAAACACTCACGGCTAACAGGGAAGCTGTAAAGGTGTTTTACAATTTAAAAACTTTGAAAATAAAATGCACAAAGTGTCCTCGACTACAAAAATGCAACCATGTGACCTCCTCCATGTCTGAGAAATTCAGGAAAATGTAGCAGTGTGAAAAATGGCGTAATGCAGTACACTCCCTCTCCTGAAGCATGTGGCAAATGCATTAATGTCGACAGAACTGCGTTTATGCACGATGTCTCTAATTAATGCTACTCACTGAGTAAGTGCAACAAGGGTCCTCGCTGGTGACGGTCAGCCAGAGGTTGGCATGGTAACAGATCTCCTAACAGGCTGATAATGAAGTGCCCACTAGTTCTGCTGACCTCTGTGGCTCATATTCGATGCTGCCCGTGGGTCAGAAAGGTCACCTACTGAGTGTGGAATGTCAGCTCCAAACACGACTGCGACCCGGAACGCTTACAATCTACTTCCCTCCTTTTTCCCCGAGACTTGTCTGAAATGTCATTACTCATGCAGATGTTGTGAAATTAGCAATTACGTGGAAGAAAAAAATATCATTGTGGGCTGGAACGGCACTTATTCGAAACGTAATGAGAACCTTTCTCTTGTTGTTTTGCAAGAAAATGGTGTGCCGTGATTTTAAATGGTGTTCAAAATAAAACCCCTTGTGAGACAAAAGACAGTATTTCAGAGCAAAAACCTACTTATTCACTAACAACCCAGTCCAGCTTAACTTGCTGGTCCTTGCGCTGCGATAGTACCATTTGTATTCAAATTAAGTTATTGCAAATCACATGTTTATTATTATATATGTGCATTATTTACTAAAGAGCTATTTTCCTAATGTGAAAAACATTTAGAATTCCACAAGCATAAATAATTATTTAGCCTTGTTTATATCTGTAAAAGTGTATTTATTACTTTAGAATGGAAAAAATATGTAAGTAAATGATTTTCTTTCTGCGTTCTGTTTCTAGACTTTCACAAGCAGAACAGTAGATTCTGATTTTGTCTATCTGTCATAGAATCTCTACTTGTTGCTTTTCAATGAGAATAATATCTGATCAAGTGCTTACAACTTTTTTTTTCTGAGTTTTATGCCAGTTTACTGCACTATTCTGTCCTTGATTTCACATTTATTTGTGCTAAACTTTTTGTATTTGTGTTTCTGTCATATAATGCAGTGTTCCTGCATTAAGGACATAAGACTGTACAGTAAATTGATTGGAAAACAGTGTTTATTGAATTATTTGAAACAACAGTAATGTTTGAATTTATATCACAACTTAATGAATTATTCACAAAAAATAACTCACAACCAGTTAAAATTAATAAGTGCTTAATATTAAATTGCATTAATTTCATGACATGACATTGTGTTTTTTTTTTTTTTATTTATAGAAATGACAGCCAGTATCTGCAAAAGAGAGTAGAGCATAAACTAAAGCACGTAGCAAAGTAAGATGGCTTGTATGATGTTAGTACAGTGGTATATTATTTCCCCTCACATAAAACTCTAAATTTAGATCTGCAGTCTTTGTCACACCATTTATATTGACCGTTCACCTTCTCTAAGGCACCGCAGTGCTGGGACATTTGATGTTCTGGTGGACTTCCTTCTTTCCAGTTGGTCCAGGGTCCCACACGGAGCCCATTGTACCAAATCCAGAAACCGAAAAGTCGGCTCTGTCTAAGCCCCACCCACACTGGCTCTGAAATATTCTGTCTTTTTAGCTCTCGCTCCGTTTCCATCTGATCATCCTCAGACTCGATGCGCAGTAGTCCAGAAAAGTTGCTGTTGCAGTAATCCAGAGCTTCCTCCCAGGACATTTCATCCGGACTCACATGAATGAAACTCTCTGACAAAAAAAAATTGGGAAAAAAAAAAACATGTAAAACTAGTGAAATACCTTGAATTAAAACAGGATTTATTTTGCAAGAAATTTCAATATCAGTACAAGTCTTGTCTTACTGTAGCATAAGGAATGTCTAACATCGTCTGTACTCTTACACCAACTCCCATCTTGAAACATATACATTAATTCTCCTCTGACAGGAGGAGGGCCTGTATAGTTTCTGTAAGCAGATTGTCCTCCATCAGACCATTCCACACTGTCCTCCAGCAGGCCGATCCAGAAAGGATTCCTACTATTGTTTCCGTCTTCCCGCACCTGTTCATTTTCCTCTTCATTTCTGATGCTGACTAAATCAGTGTGATTCTCTCTGCAGTACAGCTGAGCCTCAAACCAGGTTTTGTTTTGAAGGATTAATAATGCTCGCTCAACATCTGTATGGATGCAAGAATATGCTATACATTTGTTTACATATATTTAACTATTTATATGGTAGAATTGTATTACCTTGCTTATAACACATGAAGTGTCTTGTCTCAGTACATGTGAGAAATTCCCAATCTCCACTTGAAGTCATAGCAGCGCAGCGTGATTCCGCATAACTTGTAATGTTTCTGCGAAATGTGACATCATCACCATTTGACCATTTATTACGGCTACTATTTATAAAAGCACCGATCCATCCAGTAGGTGGATCAGGAACATTAATGAGCAGTGTCCTTAATTGTATATTGTCTTGTTGGTCATAAACTGTGGCGAGGTCAGTGTAGTTTGTTCTGCATGCATTCACTGCAAGAGTTCTGGTGATTCTTCCATTTATTAGTTGGAATTCTCTTAGTCGGCCTTTAGCATTTGAAAGAGGAAAAGCTGAGGAGAAATATTCCGTTTTTAGCACCATACCTTCTAATGGAATACATTTTGGAAAACGTATGTGCCATTTTGATTTTAAGTAATCAAAATCCATTTGTGTTGAATGAGGAAAAGAAACAAGCAAACTATGGTTCAGGCAAAGTTAAATACTCACCACAGAGGAGGAGCAGCACATGCAGCAACATCATAGTGATGCTCAGTGCGTTTAGACCAGTCTCTGCTGTTAATCACAGAATCTGTTCTTGTTTCAACAAACCACGCAAAAAAGGATTGTTAATTTTTTTTTTAAATCACATAATATACACTTACATGTAAATCAGTTTACATACAGTATAGTGCTCAATGCAATATAAAGACAAGAACATCCTAATGTGTTTTAAATGTAAATTATACTCCAAAAGCTCACCTATCAGGTAAAAAAATCACAATAATCAAATCAGGCAACTGATACTAGCCTATATATGGACATAAACAACCAAAATTAATTAATTTGCTTTCTAGAGGTATGTCGCTTCTAAAAATATATTCAAGGGCCTCTAGTATTTCTTTCCATTATTCATCACTATGTAGACATTCCCAAAAATTATGATAATGGTTCACTTCATTCCATCCACAGTTTCACCAATATGTTGGAGTTTTATTACTATATTTACCTGTTTGTATTGGTGTTATAAAATATCTAATAATGTTTTTCCAACAATATTTCTTCCAATTTAGTGAAGTAGTCAATTTCTGTTAAAACTTCCATACAGTTGACCACTCTTCATCAGTGAAGATTATTTCACTTCTGTCATCCATTTCTCTTTGACATAAATTGTAGAGTGTATTTTCATATTTATTAAACTCTTGTATATCTGAGAATCTTATATCTACACCTGATGTGTAGTCAAGTTGTCTTTGAGTTTTCCTTTTACATTTTTATCACTTTTATCAAGTGATCGTTCTAAATTAATGCTGAACGAACACCATGATGTTCTGTAATCAATACTAGTGTAAAGCTGGTGAGGTAATGTGTGAATATGCCACTTGCAACATGATTAAAAAAGTCAAAGTTTTGTATTGAATGCAACATTTGACAGTTTTAGACAAGTATTTGCATTTAATATAGGCTAAGGTTCTGTATGATAAATAAACTCCATATAAAATTGTAGAACAGCTACACTAAAGAAATACTACTGACTGATACTGTAATATTTTACCTATGGCACTTATTTAGACTTCATATGAAATGCGTGATTAAAATGTGTGTAATATATCGCAAACAAAACAAAAAAGCTTTATTTATTATGTTCATGTTAACTCAAACTCTCCCGCTAAAGAATCCCTTTAAAATTTGGCATATTTCATATTTTTATATTTTGTATAAAATGTGACCCTGGAGCACAAAACCAGTCTTAAGTCGCTGGGGTATATTTGTAGCAATAGCCAAAAATATCGGTCAAAATTATTGATTTTTCTTTTATGCCAAAAATCATTAGGATATTAAATAAAGATCATGTTCCATGAAAATATTTTATAAATTTCCTACTGTAAATATATTAAAACGTAATTTTTGATTAGTAATATGCGTTGCTAAGAACTTAATTTGGACAACTTTAAAGGCGATTTTCTCAAAATCAGATTCTCAGATTCCAGATTTTCATTGTCCTATCCTAACAAACCATACATCAATGGAAAGCTTATTTATTCAGCTTTCAGATGTATAAATTTTGATTTCGAAAAATTGACCCTTATGACTGGTTTTGTGGTCCAGGGTCACAAATGTTATAGATCTATATATACATGGTGTATTGAAACTGTTAACATGAGATATTCAAACAGTACAGCTTCAAATCTTAATTTCAAGATTATAATAATGATTGTAGTTCAGAATGGCATCAACAGACAGACAAATCATGCAGTTCTGTTCACAAGATACTATCTTACAGCTAGATATGAAAAAAAAGTGGATCATTAAATCAGAGATAGCAAAGTTACTTCATTCTTACCTGGTGAGAAGGTTAATGTGCTGGAGGAAACTGAAGACTTTTATATGTAGTTCTATAGAGGGCAGGTGCCGACAGGCAAATTGATTCTGGGTAGCGTAAGTTAATCAGTAACTTCATTTAGGTGTTCATTCAGCTTAGGAGTTTTATCCAGGTCATAACAGTAATATTTATGAAGTCGAGTGCTTTTTGCAGTAAAAATACAGCCTAACCAAAACTGAGCTAAATTGTCTTTTATTCAATAAAATGGCATTATTGTTCATAAGATCCAATTCAAATGAAATTTATCATAAATGGTGGTGTAAAAAGTCATTTGTGGTGTGTATTAATTGTCCTAATATGGTGTGGTTGCACATGTCTGTGAATATCATATTCTTAGAACAAATACTTTGAGAAGTAAAAGTTCTACTGTCGGTCAGTGTAGCGATGTGTAAATAAACGCTTGACATCACCTGTGCACGTTTACGTATACACTCAATGGATTATGACGCTGAGCAGTGCAGACATTGCTTTATGCTTCTTCCATAAACCAATAAATTCAAATCTGCAGTTTTGAATTGAGAAAAAATGTACTTCTTCCTTGACTGCGATCGCGTTTCCATCCATTCAGTGTTTGCATAAACATACTGTACTGCCATAGTCAAATATCAATATCATCTATAATGTGTCCATATTCAAATGCACTGGGCCCTGCAATGTCCAGTTTTGATGTGCTTCAGCTAATGCACTACATTTTGAACTTTATCAGTTCATGTTTGAGGAATTTATCTGACAAGTTATGATCATTTAAAAGGTTTAACTAATAGATATCACCATACTTCCCTAGCTGATTGATTACAATAGGAATTGCAAATCTGAAATGTTGTTTCAATATTTAAATGAGGTATTATCTAATTAAATATGCACTAGTTTGCAGAACAAAAAATCTGAACATTGGATAAAGCCAGGTTCAAAATTCTTGTCATTTTGCTGACATATTAGTGTTTATATATAAATAAAGATGTGTATTGCAATTGAAATCTACAGACACAAATAGATAAAGTGCAATAAAATAAACACTTAAATGTATACTTTGGATGTTTTCGTCCAAAAATGGATCTGTTGGATGTAGTCTGAAATAACATGATATGAAAACCCAAACAGATCTCCAAATTGACCATTGCATGAAAAAACAATGCTTTTGTTTGTGGTGGCTTGCCTTAATTGGTAAATTAATAGCTTATTCTCTGTTTTAATATTTCATATTTAATACTTTTCTCTCAAAGTGATCTTCCTCAGAATCAATACACAGTAATGCATAAACGTAATGACTGCATTTCTTCAGATTATTATGACATTACATGTTATATACACAAATCGTCTCCATTGACAGCGATTAAAAAGTAGCGGTATATTCTGGTCAAATAAACACTTTTAATAGCAACTTTTGTTTTTTTAATGATAGCTCGTAGTGAAGGGCTTTGGGTCTGTTTACATTCAGTCATTTATGACTTGCTCCTGTATTAAACCTTATCCATTCAATGCTATCAGTGCTAATGGGTCAACTCATTCATATACTGTATTTTGAAGTGTTTGTTAGGTGTTGAAATACTTTTTGAGGCCATTAACAGATGAAGGTGTGTTGAGTCACTGTGCTAAGAGCTAGTGCTGTTTCTTTGCTCTGTTTTGGGATTTCAAGATGGAAAAAAAGCAAAGCCCATGAAAGGGTCTGGATAAGGGTTCAGAGTTGTGATGGATCACATACGCTGGCCGAGTTTGCTCTCTACATGACTGATGCTTCTGTATTCACTTACACGGGAGACTTAAGCTGGGTGTAAAATGTGTTGCTTGTGTTATTTAATCACAGTGATTATATAGGATTGTCAACAAGTGCAGTGCCGAGTCTGCAGTATGTGATTTAGGGCTCTGTTGCACAGACCAGCATCACACATGCACAGCCCTCTCCCCAGAGCTTTAAAGGAGCTTTTAACTTTATAAAGCATCTGAAAGCCTTTTGTGCTGTAGTGTAGTGTAATGCAACACATTGCATTTTAATGAAACTTTGTCTGAGAAAGACCTTTTTCACGTGAAGTTTATTATCAGAGCTCAACAAGTATGATAGGGGAAAAAAAAAAAAAAAAGATCAGCTTTAATATTCTGAAATCACACAGAATGAAACTGTTATGCCAAAATATGCAAATGTGTTAACCTGGTCATAATAATCTCATTTGTTAGAAATATAATCAAAATGACAAACCCTTTCAATATTTAGTGAACTTCAAGGTTTCCTAATCATTTGTAAGTCTCTAAACTTGTTCATACATAAATGTTATGTTTCAGATGCTGCCAATATGTTGATAATTTGATGTCTGTCCATCCATAAAAAATCAGTATGTTAAATCTCACTTTAGATACACAAGCCTATAAATACAAATAAGTTTCTGATTATATATATATATAAAAAACTCTCCAAACCATGAACAGTTAGCAATGCATTTTATGATGCGCTGAGTCATAAATAGTCAATGTGTTTAATTACACAGTTCTGTAATATTGTACTCACACAACAAGAGTTCATATAGTATATAAAATAGGCAAAGGGTTTATAAATAATGGATTAAGATATTCAATAATGTTGTTTAGACAATTTATGATTAGAGAGCCTGCAGATTATATGGATTTTTTTTATTTTATATTATATATTTATTTTATTTTATTTTTGACTCTTCTTTAATTTTCTTAACTATCTTTTGATTACCAATTATTTTTTTTGCTATTTTTTTCTATACTAAAATACATTCTCCAATATTGGTTTAATGTACAATAATAAACTTTATTATTTTTAGATTAACTTTTTTTTGTTGTTGCTATTGTAAAATTGTGTGATAGCTGTGAAAGACTTACAATTGACAACCATTTTATAGCTGTTATTAAATTAAATAGTAAATGTAGTATCCAGAATTTGTTTTAATTTAAATTTTTTGCAGAAATGTGAAGCTTAACACAGGTCTACTGTTTTATGTTTGCAACAGACAACATCACAGAACAAGATCACAGATAACACATTCATGATAATATTAAACTGGCTGCATGTTTCGGTTTACTTGCAAATTTGGCAAATGCAAATACTATCAACACAATATTCGCAATAAAAGGACTCAATGTAATGTTCATGAACAACTTTTAATGTTAATTCTTATTACGAGGCATAAAGGTTTACAACAAAATAATAAAACAAATGAATCAATGAGATAAACGTGAAAAAGGCAACAGAAACACTAAGTACATCATTACCAACTAGCTTCTAGTGCTAACTATAAGAGCTTTATTATACAAGAGCTGAATGATGCCGTTATTCACTATTGAACGCATGAGCTCTTTTTCCTTCTGGGGAGGCAGAGCGCTGAAAACTGTGCATGCGATAAACCAAAAAGCATAAAAGAGAGGTATACCTCACATAAAACTCTAAATTTAGATCTGCAGTCTTTATCACACCATTTATATTGACCGTTCACCTTCTCTAAGGCACCGCAGTGCTGGGACATTTGATGTTCTGGTGGACTTCCTTCTTTCCAGTTACTCCAGGGTCCCACATGGAGTCCATTGTACCAAATCCAGAAACCGAAAAGTCGACTCTGTCTAAACCTCACCCACAGTGGCTCTGAAATATGTTTTCTTTTTATTTCTCGCTCCATTTCTATCTGATCATCCTCAGACTCGATGCGCAGTAGTCCAGCTTTATTCTGATGACTGTTGCAGTAATCAAGAGCTTTCTCCCAGGACATTTTATAAGAACTGACATGAATGAAGCTTTCTGAAGAGAAGAAAAGAAAAAACTGTTATTAGTTACATGCTTTGATTTATTGAAGCATGCAGTAGGCTTTGAAATGTTGAATTCTGGAGCGTAAAATATTGTCTTAACCTACTGTAGCAAAGAGCACTGCAGGTATTCAGATTACTTTTGGACCAAGATTCCGGTAATTGTTTTGAGAGAAATGTAAAGCATCCTGCATGCTTAGTTTCTCGTCTCACAGTATGTATTTTTTTATAATCAGAATGTCCACCATGAAACCATGCAAGCCTGTAATTATACCCGAAGGCCAGTCCAGATAGCGTTACTCCCATTCACTGCTTCCTTCACTCGTTAATTTTCCCTCAGATTTTTTGATACTGACTAAATCAGAGTGATTATTTCTGCAGTGCTGCTGAGCCTCAAACCAGGTTTTGTTTTCAGGGATTAAACTATAGTTGAATGACTGTTGCCTATCTGTATGAATGCAAGAATAGACAATAGTTTTACTCATAATCTTTGTATGTTTATAAGATATACAGTAAAGAGCCCAGGGATGATCACCTTGTTTATAACACATGAAGTACATTTTTGAACGACAGCTGAAACACTCCCATGTTCCATCAGTGGTTAGTGCACCACAGCATCTTTCCTCAGTAAAATTTCGGGTGATGTTGTTGAATGTGACAGGATCACCGTTTGACCATGTACAGCTGTTGGCTCCAATCCAGCCACAATGCAAAAATCCATTCACTATCATTTTAGCTAGCATTGCATTGTCGTTGTCATCATAGATTGTGACGTGAGTCAGTGTAGTTATGTCTACAAGCATTCAGTGCATCATTTATCTGCATTTGTGTTTCATTTAGGAAGAATTTTCTTAGTCAACCTGTACCGCTTGAAAGGGGAACAACTGAGAAGAGAGAGTCAGTTTTTAGTGAAATACTATTGACATCTTGACTGGAAGAAAATTCATATCTTTCAAAAACATGTAGGCTACACTTGTCCAACTTTGATTTGAACAATTCATTTGAATATGAATAGTTCTCGTCTAGGACTTTCTAACTTAAAAATTAAATAAATCTACAATGTCTTAATGTCATGGGCTTTTAATCTACAAAATCTACAGTGTCTTAATGACTTACAATGTTATACTGCTGAATTTTTAAGAGGCAATGTAAAAAAAAAAATATATA